CCTGTTGGACAGTATGTTGTGCTGCTTTCGGTTAAAAAAAAATTATGTAACACGAGGGAAGCAGCAACAATCAAAGTGATTAAAAAAAATTATTACAAATATCGTAAATAACAGTTCACAAATGCATATATACAGATATTTTTTGAAGGGGGGAAATGGTCTTCACAATTTGAAATCGATCGAACACACTGTGCGCGAATGCTCGTGTAAACGCGCGCCATCTATTGTAGGATAATTGTACTTCGCGGGAGTGTATTAAAAAATTAAAAAAACGTTCCAAAGCTTCATGGCAATCGTACTATGCCACAAACCTTCGCTGGAGTATATTAAACAACTTCCCAAAGTTTCACGGCAATCGGATAAACGGTGTGGTAATGCATGAAGGACACACACACAGACAGACAAACATACATTCATTTTTATATATATAGATGTATCACTTAAGGAAATTTTAATAAAGATATTTATCTTAATTATGAAAATATAGTAGCATGATTTTTAATTATTGGAACCTAACCCTCCTTTTCGTACTAGTTCTTTGTTTCGCATAACTCGGATTTGCATAACATGGCAATTTTTTGGAACGTCACTACCGTGTTATACGGGGGTTACCTGTAAACAGTAATAGGTTTGATTGAAGGTATGGTATTATATTAATACAATAGCAAGTACAGTACTTACCAGTATTAGATATAAATAAAACATTTTTTAACACACCTTAATAGAAATAGTTTGCCAATAGTTTCTGATGTCCAACTTTCTTCAACCAATAAGATGCAAGCCAAATTCATAGCCAATCAGAAAAAAGCAGCATTAATTGCAAATATGTACTGTATTGCAAGAGATGCTTCTCTAAAATTTATGCCATTAAAATGTAGTCACTGAGCTTTGAAATTCTAATTGACAGTTCAATCCATAATTTAAGATTAGAGATTTTGGGAAAAAAAAATATTTGAGATAACATGGAAAATATATTGAATTAAGGGTGAAAATGCAGGAGGAAAAATAAATTTTAAGATAAAGGAGTTTTCAAGATAAACACATTTGAGATACAGGTTCAGCTGTATTTCCTGAATAGGATCTTGTATAATCTTTTGCATTTCTATGATAAGAGTCTAGATACAAAATTTCTCATTTATTATAAGGATTTTAATTCTGTAAATAATTCAAATTAATAGTTATTCAAAATTTTTAAATTAATTGGAAGATGAATACAATATGATGTATTTATTTATTAATAACTTTCTATTTTGCAATTTTCATTGATTTTATTTCAGATAAAAAGATGAAAAATTTGCCTAGTGTTTAAAAATTGTCACTGCATTGTGTCTGTGTAAGCAACAAACAAAAAAAAAATTTCATTGATATTAATGCATTACAATTTTACAATATTACTTTAGTGAACTTATTAACTTAATGTTATATTCAACATTAGGAAAAATACTGGATATATTTTTATATAGTTTTAAATTTTTTTACAATTTGCAACATAAAACTAAAATATATTCCAAAATAATTTATTTATACTTACTTTTCAGCAGCATGACACATGGTACCACAAGTATCAGCCATATCGTCAACAAGAATAGCTACTTTATCCTTGACATCACCTACTAAAACCATTGAAGCTACCTCATTAGCTTTCTTTCTCTCTTTATGAATTAGGGCAAACTCCACATTTAATCTATCTGCAATAGATGTGACCCTAAAATATTCAAATTTAAAATAATTTAATGTTTAAAAATATTTTTTAAAAACCTATAACAAATATTGTTATTTTTTATCACTGTAAACATAGAATTTTATGTATTTCAAATTTTATTATATAATTTCTAAAATTGCTCATTTTCATCATAACAGAAATAATACTTTTACACAACAGTGATAATTATTAAATGATACAGCCTAATTATTTATATAGTTAGAATCTATAAATTATATAGTATGTATACCATGCTGAGGTAAAAGCTTAAGTTAGCTGAATGCTATGGTGGGTGTCCAGATGACATGGGTGCAAAGTCATCTGCAATCAGTATAGGAAGTTACTAGTTTGGTTGAGAAAAAGCAAGCAAATGTTTAGTTGCTTTTTCTCAACTTATTGGGAGTTTTTATTCAAATCTAAAACCAAACACAAAATGACTGTTATCAATAAATAATATCAATAAATCAATAAATAATTTTTTGTGAGTGCAACTGTTGTCCTTTGTGGAAAAGAGCCAAGAATCCATAAACTTATTTCAAACAAGCAGCAACAAACTTCACACTAATTTGTTGTAATTAAACAAGTGAATTTCATATTAATAAAGTAAAATGGAACTTTTATGATCATTATTCTATACATGTTTGTATTATTTTAAAAAATTCATGATAGTTGTCCATGGGATTCAAAATTGTAAAGTTAGTGGTCCATGAGGTCAGAAAGGTTGGTGACTACTGATATAGTGTGTTTCAAAATTCCTGATACAAACTTGTAGGTCAGATTCCTTAAAAAAATAAAATAAAATAAAAATGTTCAATAACATTTTTCAAATAAAGTCTTTATTTTGAGTTATAGACATTTAAAGTTCAGTGATATCATTTCCAGAATTTGCTGCACCTGAAAACATTTTATTCCAAACATTTGAGAGAAGATGGATAGAATGAGATGACCCAATATCTTGGACTCCACAATTATCAGATTTAACTCCACTTGACTTTTTCTTTTGGGAAAAGAGTCTTATTCACAAGATCCCTGTACAGTCAGTGAAAGATTTGCTTGCACAAATTATGGTCATGGCACAAGAAATTCAACACATACAGGTATTTTTGAGCAAGTGTATCAGAACATGCTTTACAAATATATTGTTTGCATAGATGTTGGAGATCAACTATATTGAGCAACTGTTGTAATGGATCATGATGCAAAGCCAAATAAACACTTAAGAAGTATTACACATTTTATAAAAAGAGCATTGCTTTCAAATACATATAAATAAGTAGATTCATCTTAAAATTTTGTGTTTATTTTTTTCTTAAAACCTTTAAATCTAAATAACAGAATAAAACATGAATTTGTTCTTATTTGTATGAAAACATGGAAAAGACATCACTGGACTTTAAACATCTACAAGTAGTTAATAAAGGCATTATTCAAAAAATGCTACTGAACATTTTTATCTTAGTTTTTCTTAAGGAATCTATCCTATAAATTTGTAACAGAAATTTGAAAACATCCTGTATATACAAGTCAAGAAAGTAAAACTGTTATAGGCATTTGGCAATTTATAATATTATTTTAGTATCACTTCAATCTCATTTTCTAGAAATGTATAAATTTAAATTAGAAATTAATTTCTATTTTAAAAATATACTTACCGTTTGGCACCTCCAGCATCAGGAGAAACGATAATACTATTTCTCCATTCTGGTATATTTTCTTTAATCCAGAGTAAGACAGCAGGCTCAGCATATAAATTATCTACTGGTATGTCAAAAAATCCCTGGTAAAGTGAAATTTACATCAGTAAATTAAATTAATAATCTATTATATACAGAATATGTTACTGCAAAATCTATTTCCAATTCATTAAAATACTTGCATAAAACTAATTGTAATTTATATGAATCATTTTGATGCTTATTTTATGTAGTTTAGCCCTATTGCATTAACTGTTTAATTTCATTTAAAATAATTAGAAGTGAAAATATGGCCAGTTTCACTTTTGCTATAATGATACTTCTCCCTGCCAATCAGACTATTGAACTTAGCCTCATCCAGTATAAAAATGCTCCATAAAATAATTTTGAGTTGACTTTAATTGATTTCCAATTATTTTTTAAATTTTGTTATTAATAGGAAGATTATTTTAAATTAAATTTTAGTCAGGCGGACTGATGTCATTTCTTTCAAGTAAAATAAAACAGCACCTAAGCAAAGAACTCTTATAGATAGGCAAGAAAGAAACAAAAAACTATGCTTGATTAAATATTATCAACATAATTTACATGCAGAAATAAGTACCTAATGTGAAGGTACAGTGGAACCTCTATATTCATCATTAATCTGTTCCTAACAAATATGGAATATGACAAATATAGAAACAATTTTTCTCATAATAAATAATATTAATGATCATAATTGAAGTTTAGACTATTTACAAAAAGTCAAAAATAACTTTTCGAGTCTATCTTTATCTGTAAAAGTTCGTCCGATGGAGAATTACTTTTAATAAAATAAAAGACAAAACTGTCCAAAAAGGATCACCATTTATTACTTGTGTTCCAAGACTAAAACATTTTCGGCGACTGACCTTCCTTTTTAGGCTACTTGTCGCCGTAAAGTTCACAAAAAGTCCTTTTAAAAACACAAAACATCCAATTAAAATTTTATAAAATTTCTGAAAAAGGAACTGGTGACATGCAGTTGTCTTGCTTCCATCANAAGGTATGATGGAAGCAAGACAACTGCATGTCACCAGTTCCTTTTTCAGAAATTTTATAAAAAATTTTAATTGGATTTTTGTGTTTTTAAAAGGACTTTTTGTGAACTTTATGGCGACAAGTAGCCTAAAAAGGAAGGTCGGTCGCCGAAAATGTTTTAGTCTTGGAACACAAGTAATAAATGGTGATCCTTTTTGGACAGTTTTGTCTTTTATTTTATTATCTATCTTTATCCCTTATACACCACCATAGAAGTAACAGTTTTAAAATTGCTTTGAAGAATACTTCTTAAACACAGGTAAAAATTGGTAGAAAACTTCACAATGTTAAAAAAGATCAAGTGTCAGCCTTTTCTTGTAGGTTCTGACACTTTTACAATTAAAAACACAAAAGAATTCTTCACACCATATTATTTTCCACTTTTTAAACTGCTTCTTATTTATTAATTATGAAGAAAATACATCCTGAGTTATCACAAAAATTGTAACTATATGCAAATAACGTAGATACTCGTAACTACCACTAGAGGGCCAGAAGCAGTTTAAAAAGTGGAAAGTAATATGGTGTGAAGAATTCTTTTGTGTTTTTAATTGTAAAAGTGTCAGAATCTACAAGAAAAGGCTGACACTTGATCTTTTTTAACATTGTAAAGTTTTCTACCAATTTTTACCTGTGTTTAAGAAGTATTCTTTAAAGCAATTTTAAAACTGTTACTTCTATGGTGGTGTATAAGGGATAAAGATAGACTCGAAAAGTTATTTTTGACTTTTTGTAAATAGTCTAAACTTCAATTATGAAGAAAATACATCCTGAGTTATCACAAAAATTGTAATATTAATGATATTCAATTAATCTGTTCCCATCCTGAAAAAAAGATACAAGAATAAAAATTATGTTGTTTGTAAAACTTTTATCTTTATTGTACTAAATAAATACAGTATAGTGGTAGAAGGGGAAGAATAGTATTATTAATATAGTATTATTGTTTAGAAAAAGACCTATCAATTAAAACATTAGGCAATTCCAATTATGATCATGAGGTCTGTTTTGCCAATGATTCAGTAACACTCAATTTAATAAAGAACTTATTCAGTGTTAAGTTTTTGTCAGCTTTTTAAAACTTTTCTGAAGTAGGTAATTACATTATCATTGAATGTATTTGTATTTTGGTTGAAAATAGCAACATTTGGCTGCCACTTTGGAGCAATTGGAACTTGGTTTCTCACATTGATTATTTTTCAATAACTCAACAACACACATTACGACAGTACAGCTACCTAACATGGCTAGCTGATCGGCACGGGCATATGATTGTAGTGCCACTTCCAGTGTTGGGAATGACAACGAATACAGAAAATACTGATGAATATGGAAAAATAAAAAAGTCATCAAAATGCAATGAAAATCGAATATTACAAATATAGAGGTTTCACTGTATTTACACAAAAAATATATATTAAGAAATTTTATAAGTCTTACTTCTTTATTTTCTCTATTTATTTGAAATTTAACAAGTATTTTAATGGGTACAACAACTAATAATGAAGAATAATGAAGTATTCAGTTTATTTATAAATAAAATTAATATATAATACATAAACAAAAATCCAATTTTATGACATCTAAAAGAAATATGCATGAAAATTAATAATATAGAAAATAAAATAAACCTGTAACTTTTCAAAGCACAATATTTCCTTTTACAATATATTCTGAATAAACAATGCATTCTAAAACATAATAATTAAAAATTAAGTTAGACCAACATTGAAAGTTTCATTTAAGATGTAACATATTAATTATTCCTTTTAATGTGTTGAAATTAAAAATCAATCTAATCCAAATATAAAATCATTAATAACTAACAACTATTTTTCCTGGTTGCAATTTGTATGAAAATGATTGTACAAAGGAAAAATAATTTATCTATATATATAAAAATGAATGTATGTCTGTCTGTGTGCCTGTCTGTATGTCCTTCATGCATTACCACACCGTTTATCCGATTGCCGTGAAACTTTGGGAAGTTGTTTAATACACTTTCGCGAAGGTTTCTGGCATTTATCCTACGATAGATGGCGTGCGTTTACACGAGCGTTCGAGCACTGTGTGATCGATCAATTTCAAATTGTGAAGACCATTTCTCCCTCTTCAAAAAATATCTCTATATATGCATTTGTGAACTGTTTTTTATGATATTTGTAATAATTTTTGTTTAATCACTTTATTTCAATTTTTTTTTGCTAATTATGTATTCGCTCGAACTTCATTAAAACCTTAACTGTACTCCGAACAACAACCGAAGTTGTAGGAAGAAATTCGCATATTTTACCAATCTAGGTATCCCCTTTTCCAAATTTTAATATCGACTCAAAATAATTTAAAAAGACAAATTACAATAAAACGGTTTATTATCCAACTATCAGAAATTTCACGTGCCAAGGAAGAGGAAAGAGCAATNACATTCCCAGCTGTTATATTTTATAATAGGGAAAGTATGGTTCTCTATAGATAATAGGAAAAAATAATAATTTAATTTCATTATTAAATGTTAAAACTAATTATTTTTAATTATCATATATAAAATTGCGTTTTTTTTACTTATTTTAATAATAATCCTATTAAATATGCGTGTTTAATTTAAACAACAAAGTAACTAGGAAATTTTGAAAATATATTTAAATGTAGTCATTTTATGAATTAATTAAATACATTTGTGATTTGAAAATTGAATAAAATTTTCATTTTTCAGTCAACGAGTCAAACGACTGACAAAAAGAAAACTTAATAATAAATTCGGAGATAGACGTATATATTAATGAAAATTCTCTCTGAGTTAATAATCATAGTGTAATAATTACATGAAAGATTCGTGACAGATGGGAGTTATTATTGCCGAATTTTATTCCTTTCTTCATTAAAAGACAAATTTTGTAGTTTAAATGAAACATTCATTTCATTTATTTACATTTGGTGATTTACATCAATCAATGTTAGTAGAAGGAGTATCCAGAAAGAAATCATTAAACGCTAATCCAAATTTTGGTATAATTAAATAAATAATTCCATTAATTATGTTTTAAATGACCATTATATTGACAAATTTTCTAAGTTCATGATGTCGTTTAATTACATTAATAAATTAAATTTTAAACATATTTTCTCTCCCAACTAAATGCATTGTTCTCTAAATTACAACCGTGGATAAAAGTTTTAAAAAGTTATCTCTGTATAAAAAAAATAATGAACTTTTAATAATTAAAATAATATTAAAAATTGATTATAATTACGTTATCATTTTAAAATTTATAAATAGATATGGAACGAAATTTTGAAATTTTCATGATTTATTTATATTCTTGTTGCACTTCTTTTGAATTATTAATATATGTTGAAAAGAGAAGGTGCAAGATGATGTTTCAATTCTGCTGAATTAGTAAAATGTTTGAGTTGTGTTAAATTAGTTGCTTGGTCTATAGTTAAGTTGAATTTGTAACGTGGTGCTATTACACGTTTGCTGAATTAGTAAATTGTCATTGTAGTTGCAGTTTGTTTATAAATAAAGTAGTACGATGTCACATTCATGTTACAAACAAATAGAACTGAATTACATTTATAAAGAATTAGTAATAATACATTACTGAAGACATTTTTATTGCATTTTCGCTATACTAGAAAGCTAGTACTCTCAAATTTCTCTTAAATTACTAAACTAATGCCCGCTACCGTTCTCATGAACAAGATGCTTTTACTCAGTTCTTCTACTAAGCTAGTAATTTATTATTACCGAAGTCTTTCGTACCATTAGTAATGTGATTTTAATGTAGTTGTGCTACATTAGTGTAATTTCGTTCTGCTGCAATTCTTGATGAGTTCTTCCCAAAAGCCTTTTTAATGCAATAACACTATCATCATTCCATAGAATGTATTAAGGCGAAACTCATACTTTTATGATTCTAAGTCTATCAAATAATTTTAACAGAATTAAATGTAAATATTTGTTAATTATATATAAAAATATCAATTTGAATGTATAAAGGAAAAACGTTGATTTATCTTCTAAAATCTC